ATTGGTTGTTTTCTTTGGCTGTTTCGGCTCACGACACCCCTGCTCCCTTACAGTATATAATATAAATAGTAGTATATAATAGCCTGTGTAATTTTTATAGCAATTCTACATAACCGTTACTTTGGCACCTAGCCATTAACATCTCCGATAATTGTGTTTAGATTTAAACAAAAACAATAAAAATAATACACGATCATTTGGCCATATTTTTATTAACAGTTCAATAACAAAACAATTCGTCATATTGCATATTTCTTCCTAGACCTAGTTAAACTACGCGCAGGTACAAAACATAATACTGTTTATTTTATAACCTAATTTGCGTTATATTGCACAGAAATAATTGCTTAGTTACTTTTCATTTCCTAACCTAGGTTAAACAAATTAATTTTATATAATGCAGAACGTCTAAAAGATTTTTTAATCCTCCCCAGATCTAACTTAGGACATAGATAGGCAACATTTTTGACTAATTAATGGAAGCTACAATTTTTAAGGACACTTAACACTTAGCAATTCAAACCATAATACCAAGTTATTAGAGCATTCCTAACCTCTGAATACACATAATTTATAAAATTTCAGTATTCATTAACACTGAGACATTTACCAAAGTAACAATTGCAATAAATACTAAATAACTATTATTTTTCAAACTTACTTTACTAAAAAAAAATGGAAACATCAATATTTTTTTATCGAGCAAGCAATCACATGAATTCGCCAAAGTAGTGAAGCGACCACTGCCTAGACATCTACAAGCAGCAATGCACTTAACACTTGACGGGAGGGATGCAGACAGAAAACATTTCCCCTTCTTATGCATCCCAATTTCTGTCAAAAATGGATATATAAAAAAATATTCCTCATGAAATTTAAATTAATATTGTCTTTTATATAATATTGGTACTTTGTCTTTTGATTATTTAGAACATATACTACAATATCTTTTCTATGGCACATAACCTATATTATCTTGAGGTAGAACTCCAGCCTATGTTTAATTATATTGCTTTTAATTTTTAACATATACAATATAAACCGCTTAATACCATCGGACCATCAGTTAAAGCGACAAAAACCATAAATACTGGAATATCTGATTAAGATAACCAGTAAAACATTTTTGGCAAATGACTTCATACTAAAAGTCCCTATTTTAAGCGGTTTTTATATATATGTATGTAAAATCTAAAGTTATTTGAACCACCGTCTATATGTGAGATCCATTAATATTGTCACACCATTATCTATAGGGTGTACTATAAAAGGTATGGATATCAAACCCACACCAACTGTCATCAGATTTATTGCAAGTATAGGAAACCTACGGTAATGCTTCTTGAAGTATAGTTGACTGTGATGACATATTCTGGAACAGTTTAACACTTTATAAGAAGATTAATTCAAATATTGGGCAATTATTTCCAACTTGACATTATGGTAAAATTATTTTTTTAATTCCATTTTACAGTTGCAGAACCCACTTACATGAAAAACTAAACACTAGTTTACGATTATCACAAAAATACTTTTTTAAAAAATACTTTTTTGTGATAATCGTAAACCATCAATTCTGTCCCGAGAAATAATTAATTGTTTAAGTAGGAACCATAATGAAAATTAGTTTCTGCCTACCCATCTAAGACAATGTCGTGAGTGCTTAGACATACCTGTTAATAGCATATCCAGGTATAATAACAGAGGCTAGAGTTTGCCAAATAAGAGCATCTCCAGTTTCTATAAGAACCTTCTTAGGTCTGCCATCTTTCTGAAATATAAGAGGACAATAGTTTTAACATACTGGAGCAAATAGAAAAATTCTTACATTTTTCTAATTATATAGACAAAAAAGTCACACCTTGATCATTTTCCAACTCTTGTCCGCAGTGTCGGCCAGTACATAACCAGTGGCGAGAGCGTAGCTGGCTTGCACCACCCGCAGTGGCACCATTGCTCTGAATGACTCTCCCACTTCGTTGGCATAGCCTGCAGTAGAACATGGATCTATTCAGTGATCGTTACATAACAAGAGATGAACAGTAAGTATATATTAAATACTTGTATGCAGCTTAATCTTTACATCTGTTTAGTCTAAAGGTTTTAACTCTTTTGTAACTTACGTCAATAAAGTATAAGTGTAAAGTAACTTCATCATTATGTAATACTATACTATACCATTACGTAAAAACTTATTAGTATTTTATGTATTACTTTTCTTAAAAAACATGTGGTTACTTACCTAAATAGCGAACCCATGTCTCTCGATAAAAATCCACTTCGCGGTCAGGCATTTTTGAACAAATGTAATTCAATGTCGCAGAAACCCTTCCGATACTTTAAGTAGTGTGATGTTACGATGTTTACTTACTAATTATCTACGCTATAAATTTTAATAATAACAGTACAAGCATTCAAATAGAACTTTGTTAGATAACCACCGACAAGGTTATATTGATCAAAACCTTTGTACATTCCTGAACTCTAAGTCGAGTATTTTGTTATAATTTAGTAGTACATAAATACGCTATTGACTTCCTTACTTCCGAATAGAAGCAAGTTATCATCTGGAATTAAATAAAGTTTAGACATACTTTCGTATTTTGAAATTGAATTTCATGATTTTGACAGTTTGAGTTTAGCGGGTGACACATTTGGTGGAGTATTGCCAGCAACAAGAATTGTAAAAATTACTGAACCAAATATGTTTTACTTTTGAATCACTACAACATTTTGAAGTCGTTAACCAAATTGTAAAACTAAAAACATAAACACAAAATTAGATATTATTTTATTTTGAGAAGTGTTTACCTTAACTCCTATTTAATAAAACATTTTTTAAAATACTCCTGCTGTGGTAGAATTTATTCCTAATTTTCACACTACCTTGATCAGCTGTTCATTCAACCTTCACAACAAATGTGTCTGATAAACTGAACCGTAGTGACGTGAGTGAAAGGTTTTTTTACTAATTTCATTAGTAGACATATAAATTAATGTTAAGAATAAGAACGTTCGTACGTTCGAGTGCCTTACAAAAGTAAATTGTGAAAATGTTATAATCAGTGAAAGTGTCAACAAAGAATGGAAAAGGGGTTAGAATTTTATTAGGATCAATTTTCTGATATGCGCATATTCATCACAAATTTGCACGTCTAAACAATATCGCCCATTTAATAGCATAGAATTCGTTACATTTTGATCAATTACACTTTTAAAAGTACAAAAAATATCTCCGAATAATTTAAAATACACTTGCATATTTTTACCTTATCCATGCTCGAAGTTACTTATGTTTAGTGTAACGTTAGTTATTCAGTATTTAGAAATATGTAGTTCTAATAACAACAAATTGTGTATTTCGATGTTCATGTCACTCGTATACTCAATATTAGTAATCAGCTCAAATATTCTGAACTTGACCTTTCAAGGAAATGATTATCAAGGAAGAATATCGTAAGATACTGTGTAAAATGTTATTCAAATATTAATATTACGAGTATATAGCAGTGGTTGAATGACGCATTTATTCCTTTGTGTTGCAATACCTCCCGGACGAGAATATCCACATGTTTTTTTTTTCGCAATGACTGTCACCGACAGATTGTGATAAAATAATTCTTAGTAATAAAATAGTCAGGTTGTAAACTGTCGGCAAATTGTGATCGAAATCATTGATTCATGTTTAATGTTTTTCAACCCTTCCGATTAGTCGCAAATCGATTCTTGAACTGTTGAGCTGTGTCTCGACAACTAAATTAATAGATCACAGCTCAATTCGATACACTAAAACAATGAAAGCCATCCAACCGCGAATCGTCCGTTCAATCGCAGCTCACGCGAATCTTACCTCTATGTAGGTAATTTAAGATGATCTGTGAGCCACCGATCCATGCGAACCGTGAACTGATCTGCAGGTTTTATTTTAGTTGAGTTATCCATGGCTACTTGCGTTTTTACGGCTGATCCGTTTAGAAACGGCCGATATTGTCGACCGGTTAGTCACATGATTAGGGGATTTACCCACTAAGAAAATTATTGTTCTACATGCCGAATAACTTAATCCTTTTTTATTTTTTTTAATATAGACATTAATTACGCACATATTACTGTCGGGAATGTTAATTAGTCACCTTGATATTTTCACCTCGTCTTCTTAATTTAAAGTAGAACGCCATGATAAGATAGTGTTGCCAACGCGAAGGTAGCATTTTTCCCGAATAGCCTAATTATTTAACTGCCGATTCTGAAAATATATTCGTATTAAAATCGCCTTCTTTACTAAATGTATTATTATGTATTTAGTTTTTAGATCATTGTAACAACATAAACCTTTTCCAAATAGTGCATATTGGTCTTTACCCCGTTTTACTTTAGTCAATCGAGTTGCTGCCCTTTAATTTTTATTTATAGAAAATGTAATCTGTACTAATATTATAAAGAGAAGAGATTTATATTTTGGTGTTTTCGTATTTTTGTTTGTATTGAAATAACTCAAAAACCACTGGGCCGATTTTAAAAATTCTTTCACCGTTAGAAAGGTAATTTATCTATAAGAAACGTAGGCTACATTTTAATTTCACGCGGGAAATTAGAATCTGGATGTTTGATCATTACGAAATGAAAAACACTATAAAAACCATTAATTAAAACACAAAATTAATAAAGAATTGCTAATATTTTTATTTTTAATACGTGTTTAGATTGTTTTAGTAGGAATTGAGGAAACAATTCGTTATTTCATCGTTGCAAAAACCCCGATGCGTCACTCCATCCACCGACAAGAGACGCAAATGAGAAATATTTAAACATGCAATTTGCACTGCCTATATGTATTTAAGTTACGTTACTACGCAGAAACTTTGTACTTAGTCTATGGCTGAGTACGCTGCATTGTTAGTCTTTTCCTCTATGGTATTATTGTCTTATTCCACAAAGCGTTAAAAAAAGCAAATTGCAATTCAGTTCTTATAGCGAACAAAGCAGCCTTCGACCTAATATTACACGAAAATACAAAAGTTGCCAAAAAAATCTTAAGATATCGCAACAATGTTAAAACGCAAATTGTTTATTTTTAGTATGTTTTGATTCGTTTTTTATTTGATTAATAATTATTAAGTTCAATGAACTTGAATACATAATTATTTAAGCAATAAATAAGTCATTAATTTAGTAAATAACACTGCGAAATAAACATAACTAATAACTCATTGAAATCGATCTAGTATTAATGGCTGCTAGAAAAACGAAAAACCCGCGAAAAACATCATCTCAGTACGATCCATTCCAATTTCTTTGTTTAGATAATCTAACTGGCCAGTTACATATCATAGTTACTGGCCAGTAAGATTATTTCTTTTATTATTTCTTAATTCCCTTGTTGTTAACGTGGACGTCTGAAAACGCGATTCATTTTTTTTTTGTGAAATAATATTTAAAAATAATTTAACTAATTACAAAATATTCCTGTTTATTGAACAAACACATATACTCATTTTGCTAGTCAGCTAAGATTCATAATAGATTTAAAGCTACATAATGCCATATAATTTATATATTGACAGATATGTGGGTGTCCTCGTGTTTATTTTCTTGCAAACAATGCGAACAGATCTGTAATAGTATTTGCAATTATCGACAGTTATTGTAGTCGAGCGCGCGCCAAATGAAATCGCACGTGTTTTAAGTTTCAATGAGTGTAATTTGAACTGGTAGTTTATATAGTGCAAATACTCACGCCCTTATCGCAAATGGGTAAGCAGATGCTCTTTACCTTATATAAAATTGTAGCCAGACTCTTTTATCATACTATACTTAATAATAATGCGAAAGATTAGATGGATGGATGGCTGTTTGTAAGAGTTTGTAATAAAAACGACTGAAAGGATTTCGATGAAATTTGGTATAGATGTAGAGAATAGTATGGAACACATAGGCTATTCACTTTTGTTTTTTTATTCTACGCGGACGGCGGGCGAATACTAGTAATCTATATTAGATTTAATCGTAAATCTACGTCATATACCACTTTAATAATGTCGTATCAACACTTCACTTATCATCTATTAGACGTTAAGCTAACCTCGTGCGTGATTATAACATCAAATATCTCAACTCTTCAAGGACTTTATAATTCTTAGTCCTACATCTATTTTTTTTTGAGTTTTCTTAAGTTAAAACATTCTATTTTGTACTTTCAGACCTGGGAATAAGGCTAGATTTACGAATTAATGTAATTCACAGAAGTCATTGTCAACAGTAATAATTATGGATTTACTTATCTTCTTTCCAGATCAAATGAATCTTAGTGTTTCAGTTGTATTTATTTTAATGACTTTGTTGTTATGACGTCATATGTGGGATGAATCGCATGTTACAAGGAAAACGTTAGTTATGAGTGTGGTACACCGGTAGAGGTAGACGTAGAAAGAGATGGATGGATTGCGTAAAAGGGGACATAACTGATGACTGAGATGAAGTTTGATAGTTGTGGAGGATAAAAACCTATTGTGCCGACCCTACGGGAGTAGAATAAGGAGAAAGATGATGTTATGACGTCATATAAACGCTGTATCCCAGTTACCAGCCCAGTTTTATCGTGTACTTTGATAATCAAAATTACTTTTTTTTACTTGCGTAATTACTTTTCTTGCGTGATAAAAATCGAATAGTTTATCAGTTGAACGAATGGATAAAAAATCGGTTAGCGTTTGGTTTACAATATTATTCTTGTTCTTGTAAAGGCGGACTATATCTTTAGCAAATCTAGTAATTCGATTATTGGCTAGTCATCGTGTGATTTGTAGAAAATTAACACCGTCCTATTAAGTAGTCTTGCAAATTTGTTATACACGTAGAGATAAAATGTCATTACCATCTCGAAATCTTGTTATTATTTTTATTAGCAACTTTATGCTGTAGCTAAATAGACATAACAAAATTTTCGAATGTAAAAAAAATATTTACCAGCCAGTTGCTTGATTGCAACTTTGTATAAATAACAAAAATATAACAGTGGTAGTGTCCGCTTTAACATCTTAGCACTGCAGGGCCGGCACGCCCGGTGTAATACCACGACCACACAGAAGACAGGCGTGAAATGGAAGCAATTCCGTCTTTCGTCTGATGAGTGTGGTGCCGGAGGCCTAATTTAAGTCTCTTTCCTTTTCCTTCTTACCACCCTTTTCTTATAAGGAGAGGATGGTAAGGGGAAATGGATTTGTCGGTGGAGGAGATGCATAGGAAGGGGAAGTGTCCTCTTTATGTGCGTCTTCTCCGCTGTCGTATAAGGGTAGGCAACAGGCAACGCACCTCCAATTGCGGATGCCTATGGGCAGCAGTCGCTTCGCCATTTTGGCGGACTCAGGTGGCCAGTTGCTCGTTTGCCACCTTATGTTATAAAAAAACATGTATTTTTAATCTCAAACGTAGATCTTGAGATTAATCCGTTCAAACTTCGGCTTTATTATATTAGTATAGGTGTTAATATATTGTAAAAATTTAACAAGCTTGTCCTCGAGACGCTCTGAATAAACTAAAGTAATTTATAAGACCCAAAAATTTATTACGCACGCCAATTTTATTAGATGACTAGCTGTTGCTTGCGCCTTCATCCGTATAAAATTATGAAAATTTTATTTCATAGTTTACATTTGTCAAATTAACAAT